CATACGAGGAAACCACCAACCTCAGTAAAACGTAGTGTCCAAAAAAGATATTTATGAAGCGTTGAGAAAGCCTCTACCTGCTTTTGGGAGAATTATTTATCCTAAGTGTCCTCACAGCAAGGTTGCGTTTTTTTAATACTTCAGTCAACTGTATCTCTTCAATAAAAATCAGATAAGGTCAAAAAGTCAAGTAAGGCTTACGGACGATTTAGCTGCGGTTTCTTTTTGTCGGGTTTCAATTTCCTCTTCTTTACAGGTTTTTGGCGCGGACCAAGTAGGTTATGGGGACATGCGTAGCTCAAGTGTCCACTTTCCTAAAGTTTGATACAGTCTATATTAAGAATAATAAAGTTAAACGTTCTGCTCTAAGAAGCAAAATAAATAAATGCGGACGTTGAGTTGCTGGAAAAGACAGTGTATAACTAGTTTAACGTAGGAAACATGGTAGTCTAGGTTTTAGTTTTAGGTGGAAACTGCAGATGATCCAACACTACCGCGTAGAACACCAGAAACTGAGGATAACTACATATGGGAATTTACTGTAGGCAAGTGGGGCAGCGAGAGAGTAAAAATCGGATTGAAACCTCTGTAGAGTTGTACGCTTTTGTCAACATTTTTTGTACGAACGTGCCCACCCTGATGTGGTGGACCTCGTGGGGATTGACGGTCGAACTGTCAGATTATGTCTGTTGTCATCACTTCACAAGGCCAAACCAGTTTATAAATCAAGTGGCTTGTAGGACACGTGTGTATGAGTTTGCATACACCCATCTAGTCGAAGATGCAGTCCAAATTCGAACTTGTTGAGACATCGACTGATTTGCCTCACCGCACCTGAATCTAGTTCTTACATATGGCGACAAGAGCTAACAAAGGCAAACTGCCTACCAGTTTGACTATCGTAAGACAAGAGGTTAAAAAACATCAAAAAGATATATGTTTTGTGAAAGCGAAAAGTTTGAATAAGAAGGTTCAATAAAAAAAAAGCTATTACCCCACACTCGTAGCAACGCGATTTGTCCGGATATTCACGCCGTCGGATAAACTCGGGAGTACGACCATTATCGTGCGCAATCGAGGCCTTGATTTTTCGACCAAGCATCTGTCAACGAAAAACTGCCTTATAAGTAAATCAAAAAGGTTCGAGAACTGGGGTCTAGTCGTCGCTAGCATATGTGGGATAGGGATGTCTGCTTAAGTATTTAAATCCTGTACGTTGGTAGATTAAAAAAAGGCCTATAGTCCACATCAAAGAGAAAATGTTTACCTTGAGGCGAACTAGAATTTCGGATAAAATTGTCTACAAATTATGGTCCAACACAAGCAAACATATAGACTTCATAATTGTTGAACTGAACAGGTAATGTGAAAACTTCGTTTTCCTTGAAGCACGGAGTTAGTCATTAAACGGCATTATTTATCATCCTGAAAAATCAAAAAAGAAAGCTTGTGTCCCCTCGGCTGAGTTACGATTAACTAAGTCAAGGTAGAAACGAAAAAAGAAGTACACTTTCACTAATCCACAGACCTGTTACTAGTGCGACGACAGAGCATCGGGCTTCCGGCATCACATGAAGACAAGTAAGGAGGTTCATAAAGAGCGACAGGGCTAAGAAGCCTACTAGCACTGCAAAAAGAGGCACGGTGTCCTATTCAACAGCTGCAGATGAAAATTTGATAGATCTAATTTACCTCACGGTCCTAAATATCAACTTCCAATAGGCAGAAAAAAGCTTGAGATACTGACTGTGATCGTCAAACGCGCAAAAAATCAAAAATATTACTAAAAGGAAACCGTAATACATTATTATCATGTCAATTCATAAACGGAAGTATGCCAGCTCTTATGAAACGAATACCATATAAGTCGTATGTATTTTTTCGGCTGATCATCGATGTTTCCATAAAATTACTTCGATTTCCGAAAAAATACATACATACAAATTTTATTTTGTATTAATTTGGTTTGAAGTAATTTTTTATCTAATCTGAGCAGTTAGATGAGGGGTGCACATCAATATTCAAAAAACTTTCTTTAACCAGGGATACTTGAAAAAATGCCCTGCGGTTTTCCCTTTTTCTTATGATTTCAAAACTACATTGAGCGTATTGTATATTAATATAATTCTACCGGTATTTATGAAGAGGCTGTCAGATATTCAAAAACATGTGAGCGATATGAATCGTGCTAGCTATTTGGTAGGCAGCAGAAGTATAATGTTTTGTGAACGATTCCAAAATAATTTGTTTAAATCAAGATATTAGTATTTTTAAAAGGCAAACATTGATAAGTCACACATCTACAAAGCAAGTGTAGGAAATTAATATAATGGGTAAGCATGAAAAAGCAATGGACAAAATACGCACTAAGTGATGATTTGTCACGGGTAACTGGGAGAACCCGTGAATAAAAGCTACCTTTCTATTGATTTCGAACAAGTTTGTGAGCGCACTTTAAGCTAAGCAGTACTATATCAGGAACAAAGTTGTATTTTCGACTTGGAAACATCGAAAACCACGTCCAAAGTGACCAATTAGGCAGCTGTTTGAAGAGCTGCTTGTCCGCGGCTAGTCCGTACAGTAGACAGCAACAATTCACAGATCAAAACTCGGGGGATGCCAAGTGTTTCCCGCATCGGCCACTACAGTTAGTGCCTGGAACAACAAGACAGAGAGTTCCAAAACCAGCTCAGTCTTATGACCAACTACCACTCTGTTCACGAAGACGATATATAGACATCGACCAGCTCCAACACAAGCACGAGGATGAACATGGAGAATCTTAATAAGGCAAAGGGCGGTTTACTCCGACTATTATTGTTTTTTTTCCTCTAAAACCGGGGTCTAGGATCTGGATTCCAGAGAGCAGCAGGTACACAGACTGCATATCCGTTGGCATATCTCAGAATCGAAACTCAAAAATTTATTCCCGACTAAGTAATCAAGTCTGTTTCCTATTCAGTGGCACTACTCTAAGGTACTTAGAGGGCAGGTCGATAGGCAAGAACCCTGTATCTTAAATCATATGCTCGGGCGATTGGTTTCTAAAGGTGGGCTTCAAAAGCGCTCACTGTTTTTGGCATTCTGAAAAGCAGCCGTAATATGACGATGATGAAATAGGCAAATGACCGTGGGCCCGCAACTGATATTTCACATTATGAGGGTCATTACACTTTATGTGGCAGTCAATTTGTCGGACCTCAATTCTCCCGGCTGTGTTAGCTGTGTCATCAAACTAAATTCGGTTAATTTCGCTGCTAGTCTTTTCTGAAGGCCGTCCGCTGATTAGTCACTCATAAAAGCAATGGGTAATCAGACTTAAGGTTTGTATTGATGCACAATGACTAACATATGGTGTTAGCGTAAAACAAGGGTTGGTCTGGTGGCAGCACCAGTAAACTATACTTTGAAGAATTTTCAGTCGAATGCAGCCGATATGCCAAAAAATAAGACAAATGGATTCGAGTGATTGTCAGGGGCAGCACTAGGGGCAGGACTAGCAAATCCAAACCCGATTGCACTCGGTTTAGGGTTAAAATTACCGACTCATAAAGTGTTTGACCAACACTTGCGCATAACTAAGATCAGGTAATAGGTACCCCCTGTTCATTCAGGGGGCTTTGCAAAAAAGTGTCAGAGAGAGCTAGTGGCATGGTTAGGATAGCGTCAATGTGGGGAGTTAGAGTTGAGTTCACGGTTATGGACAGGGTTATGACTTAATTATGTTAACTCTTCCTGAAATTTTGCGCAAGGCCTTCTTTATTGTCGTGAGGGGTTTTTATTTTTGTTTCTCACCACTTAACTTTCATACGTATTGTTGGTGGCAACAAAAACATAATATCGAAAAACTTACCTCGAAATTATCTAGCTTCTTCGCACATTCCTCGGCTTCTGTTTGCTTCAAAAAAAGTACGAACGCCACGCCCATGCTCTTTCGGGTGATTCTGTCCTTCATTATTGTAACCCTTAAATTTATAAAGAGCAAGTGTAAAAGATTCCTTATATTGGACAGTGGTCGCAAAAAAGAAAGCGTTTTAGAGTAAACAATGATAATCCTCTGAATAGCACATATAAGTGTATATTAAAACATCTTTATGATAAGAAAAGCCCAAACAATTAAATTTTGATAATAAGTTGTCGACGTTAGATTATCAAAAGTCTGCAAATTTGAAAATAATGTTGGTGTTTTGACAATAAGCAAGACAACCCCGTTGAATGATGTCAAAGGCTGGAAGCTTAGATATCCTGCACTGCATCAGAAAATACAAGGTGTCCCAGAAGTAACTGACCCTTTTGATTTGCTAATAAAACGAAAACTA